CTTAGTAGATATTTATTAAATGTCAAAAATAAAGTGATACAATACAATAAATTAGATTAGTCAGGCCAAAAATTTATTTGAAATTCTTTCGAAGATACAAAAGAAAGAAAAATAATTTGATATTTATAATTTAGTAGTAAGCAAAATAAGACAGATATAGATATTTATTTTATTATTGGAAAAAATGATTCCCATTTACAGTTTTTTTTTTAAAATTACGAATTCATTTTTCAAGCTTACTGTTTAAAAAAATTAAAAATTAAAAGAAAGTACAAAAAGAAAAAAAGTGTATGTTTCTAAACACGTGAAAAGAGCTTTGGTTTAAAATGCTGGATGAGATACAATTTTTTTATAACAAATTTACTACTCAAGATGTGTTTGAAAATTAATCTTCAAGTGTCTCACCAGAGTGTTTATTTTCTTTCTTCGTTGAATGATTTAAAAATAGTCTAAAAAATTTTATAGTGAAAAAGAACATCAAAACACATGATAAACTATTCTTAATTCTGTATAGAATGATAAAACAAATTGTTGGAATCGAGTGTGTACGGAAAACCGCTTATGATCATTTATGCCAATTAGCGTTAAGTTTTATGAAAGATATAATAATCACGATATAAAATCTATCATCACGATATATAGTCGAACCTCAGTGAAACGAATATCCGTTGATTTTATCAATGATATCATTACTACGATTCTATTAGAAAAATTTGAACACACCGTAGGTCGCATTTAGGCACACGCACCTAAAGTAGTAAGCCCGTTTGAGCAAACAAATATTGATTGAACTATAAATATTATAAAAATAAATTATTCCAAATCTAAAACTATTCCATGGCATCAGACTTGCTGCACTGAAGGGAATAGGTAAAAATACCGTAACGTATGGTAATGACGTTTGTGGCAAAAGAAGCATAATTATAGGTAATTAAACAAAAACTAGTGGGCTCTGCCCCCTGCTCGCTACGCTCGCCAACCCCCAGAACTGCTTCGCAGTTCCATTGCATATTGCTTCGCAATCTTATAAAAACATTTTAACAAATTTAAATTTTAAAATAAAAATGCCAGATATATTCCCGTGGCGCTAAGTTTTCACTGATCTCTGGTCAACGGGGAATGCATGTCATTGTTAAGAATAGAGAAGGTTTGCCAAACCTTTGAACAATGGACATTGCATCTAAATAGTTTTGATGCATATTACGGGGAGAACCAATGAAAGAAGAGGGAAGAATGACTTGACGCCCAACTCTCAAATTGTTTTCAGCTGCACGCTGGTGTATGTAATCAGCTACATTTAAATACATATCTGCACGCAAATTACTTTGATTGTGCCTTATAAAATTTAAGCGTGTGCCTTCAATTCGAACATACATATCCACAACCCACTGAAGATACAGTTTTTGTGAACGATGCAATAAACTGAAAGTTTCTCTGATGGAAAGACGATAGGCAGCATACTGTCTCATTGTTGTTTTGTTTCGTTGATTATTTGTAACAGTGTGCGAAATATTAATATGCCATCCAGGATCACCATGGGGAAACAGTAGCG